TCTGGCCACGCTTGCCTTACAGTTAGTTCCTGGAACACTTGAGGGATCCGCTAGCCTCAGGGCCATTGTGCCGGCTGTTCTCTCTGCTAGGAATGCGCTTCCCCCAGAAACCCACCAGGCTCCTCCTTCACCTGCTTCAGGCGGCTGCTCCAATTACACTTTCTACCGGGAATTGAAGGATATTAGGGATTCATTGTGCCCTGGCAGAGTGATTTATAGCAGGCAAACGTGTCCTCAGTGTTGGAAGACACAGACTGAAGGCAGAGTGGGACAGACGTCTCGAATGGATCCGAAAATGGTTCAGCAAATACAGATATATTTTTTTAATATTTATTTATTTTTGAGAGAGAGAGACAGCGTGAGCAGGGGAGGGTCAGAGAGAGAGGGAGACACAGAATCCGAAGCAGGCTCCAGGCTCCCAGCTGTCAGCACAGACCCGGACACGGGGCTCGAACCCACGAACTGTGAGATCATGACCTGAGCCGAAGTCGGACGCTTAACCGACTGAGCCACCCAGGCGCCCCAGCAAATACAGAAATATTAAACAAAAGAGGCAAATGGGGCAAAATGTGGCAAATTGCTAAACACCAGGAGTGGGTACAGAGTGCGAATTTGTGATTCCATTTTTCTGTACATTTCCCATTTTCATAATAAAAAGGTTTTTTTTTTTTAAATGTTTTATTTATTTCTAGGAGAGAGAGACAGCGTGAGCAGGGGAGGGTCAGAGAGAGAGGGAGTCACAGACTGAAACAGGCTCCAGGCTCCGAGCTGGCAGTCAGCACAGAGCCCGACGCGGGGCTCGAACCCACAAACCGCGAGATCATGACCTAAGCGAAAGTCGGAAAGTCGGACGCTTAACCGACTAAGCCACCCAGGCGCCCCTAAAAAGGTTTTTTAAATGCCACCTTCTCAGCCAGGCTTTTCCGGGCCACAATATTTAAAATTATACTTCCGGAGAGCCTGGGTGGCTCAGTCCGTTAAGCGACTGACTCTTGATTTCGGCTCAGGTCATGGTCTCAGAGTCGTGGGATGGAGTCCTGCGTGGGGCTCCGTGCTGACAGTGCAGAGCCTGCTTGAGATTCTCTCTCTTTCTATCTCTGTCCCCCTCCGCTCGCTCGCTCTCTCAAAATAAATAAATTAAGGGGCTCCTGGGTGGCTCAGTCGGTTAAGCATCCGACTTCGCCTCAGGTCATGATCTCGCAGTTCGTGGGTTCGAGCCCCACGTCGGGCTCTGTGCTGACAGCTCAGAACCTGGAGCCTGCTTCAGATTCTGTGTCTCCCTCTCTCTCTGCCCTTCCCCTGCTCACACTCTGTGTGTGGGTGTCTCTCTCTCAAAAATAAATAAACATCAAAATAAATTAACATTTAAAATAAAATAAAATTATACACCCTTCCCTGCTTCATTTTGTGCCATAAAACTTATCTTTTTTTCCACACATACAAGTTTTGGTATTTTATAATAAATAAAATATACATTTAAATGTATAAGTATAGTATTCTTTCTGATACATAAGTATCAGAATATACATAAATATACTTCATACTATATAATACCTACATATACTTCATAATATACAAGTGTGTAAATATGCTTAATAATATATAATATATAAATATATACTTTCTACTATACAAACATATGTTGCAGTAAATAAATATATAGCATATATTTATAAAAGTATTTTATATTAATATATTTATACAAAAATGTTTTTTAATGTATTTTTTAAACTTTTTTTAATGTTTATTTATTCCAGAGAGAAAGACAGTGCATGAGTGAGGGAGGGGCAGAGAGAGAGGGAGACACAGAATCGGAAGCAGGCTCCAGGCTCTGTGCTGACAGCTCAGCTTAGAGCCTGACACGGGGCTCGAACTCACAGATCAAGGATCACGACCTGAGCTGAACTTGGATGCTTAACCAACTGAGCCACCAGGCGCCCCACAAAAATGTTATATATAGGGACACCTGCCTGGCTCAGTCAGTAGAGCATGCTACCCTTGATCTCAGGGTTGTGAGTTCGAGCCCCAAGTTGGGGGTAGGGTTTACTTAATAATTTTTTTAATATTCTGTATATATATGTACATATATACACATATATATAGATACAATAGAAATTATATAATTTGTAATATCGATTTCACCCCTGTGTTGTGTTTACTCATCGCCCACCCCTACCCCAGGGAACGTGATTGGCAAGAAGGCAGCCTTGTCTTCGTAACTCTGCTGGGTCTCCCAGACCACCCCAGGGCCTAACCACAGTAGGGAATTTTGCAGCATTGATTGATTCCTCTTCCTGGGGCGCCTGGGGGGCTCAGTTGGTTAAGCTTCCGACTTCGGCTCAGGTCATGATCTCACGGTTGGTGGGTTCGAGCCCCACGTCGGGCTCTGTGCTGACAGCTCAGAGCCTGGAGCCTGCTTCGGATTCTGTGTCTCCCTCTCTCTCTGCCCCTCCCCCGCTCAGGCTCTCTCTCTCTCTCTCTCTCTCTCAGAAGTAAATAAAACATTTAAAAAAAAAATTCCTCCTCTAGTTCCAGAGCAGGCCTAAAGATCCTTCTGGAAATTAAAAAAAAAAAAAAATCCTCCTAGGCACCCGGGAAGTGTGAAGTGACCACCTGTCAAATCTCCCTGGCTGGGGGTGTGGCGACCCCTGGGGCCCCAGAGCCTCCCAAACCTGGCCTGGTCCCAGTGTGCCAGGCGCAAGGATCCTACTTAATCCTTCCAGCAAACTAATGAGCAAGGTACTATTCTCATCCCCATTTTATATATGGGGAAACTAAGTCCCAGAGAGGGTGTCCCTTTGCTAAAATTCACACCTCTAGAAAACGGAAGGGCTAGGATTTCATTTATTGTTTGAGAGAAACGTTGCGAGTTTTTATTTTTTATTTTTTTTAAATGTTTTATTTATTCCTAGGAGAGAGAGAGAGACAGCGTGAGCAGGGGAGGGTCAGAGAGGGAGTCACAGACTGAAACAGGCTCCAGGCTCTGAGCTGGCAGTCAGCACAGAGCCCGACGCGGGGCTCGAACCCACGAACCGCGAGATCATGATCTAAGCGAAAGTCGGACGCTTAACCGACTAAGCCACCCAGGCACCCCGCGAGTTGTTTTTTCTAAGGTCTATTTATTTTTGAGAGAGCGCAAGCAGGGGCTGGGCTCGAACTGGGAACCCCAAGACAATGACCTGAGCCAAAGTCAGATGCGCAACAGACTGAGCCACCCAGGCGCCCCAGGGCTTAACTAATTATATGTTAACATATTTCTTTGTTTAATCTTAATTGCTGCTGCCTAGGTGACTTTCAAACAGTGAGTTTACAGCTCTGAAGTGTCACTTTCCTCAGGAGGGCCTCCGGCTTTGTTTACCTCCTAACAATGGCTGTTCCTTCCCTTGAGATTCAAATCCAGGATCAAAATCTGGCCTGGGTTTGGCGCCCAGTTACTGGCCAGCAATTCAACTGGCTGGTAGTCAGGAATTCTCCTTGGATGTAATCAGTTCCGGCCATGGGGGGGAGGGTGGGGGACAAAAAAGCAAAGAATCTTTTGGCTGCAAGTCACAAAACAAAACAAAAAAGCCTCCTAAAATACAAAAACACCCGAATGCAGATAACAAAGGAGCTGACAAAAGTGAAAAACCGGTTTTTGTTTACTTTTGACTTTTTTTTTTAAACAAACAATCCAGAAATCAGGTTTAGAGGTTGAAGGACCCAAAGTCTTTGTGTTCTGCCTTCAGCATGTGGCCAACTCTTGGACACAAAGTGGCTGCAGCCACTCCAAGCATCACACTCCAGATGATCACAGCCAAAGGGAGGGAAGAAAAGAAGAGATTGTCCTTTAGGGTTCTTCTTCTTCTTCTTTTTTTTTAAGTTTATTTATTTATTTTTGAGTGAAAAACAGAAAGAGCAAGTGGGGGCCTGAGGCAGAGAGAGAGGGAGAGAGAGAATCTCAAGCAGGCTCCGCATTGTCAGCACGATGCGGGGCTTGAACTCATGAACCCTGAGATCCTGGCCTGAGCCGAAACCAAGACTTGGAAGTGCCACGGGGACTCTTTGGTCAAGGGAAGAAAGACCTTCCCAGAGGCCTCCGGGCAAATTTCCCCTTGCATCCTTGACCTTCTCCTGAGCAGTCATTGACAAAAGCGGATGAGCGGGTTTGGCAATGGTTACCAACAAATCAGTTTTATTCCAAAGCTGACGGTGGACAGGCCACAGGCCTTGTCTGCTCAATAGCCCCCCACGGGTCTCCCTCTAGCAGAGAGGGTCAGAGATGAAGCGACGTGGCCAAGGTCACACCCCCAGCAGATAACACCTTTGAATCCAGCTCTGCAACCAGATGGATGTCCCTGGTCCTAACGTCTGGCTCTCTCTACACTTAACACGTAACACTAATTCAAGTGCGCGTGTGAAAGAGCCAAGATTTGGAGAGGAGGCGTGACACAGGGAGGTAATGGCGTCATTGCTTAATAGACTACCGATGTTCGCCCCGCCCAAGGGAAGAGTATCTTGCCTCCCTCCACACCCACCAGGGCCCACTCTCTGCGGTACCCGCCATGGGTGCTGGGAAGCCCTCGGAAGAGAGCGAGCAGGGGCAGCTCTGGGTGTATGAAGACCTCTGGGGGCCAAACTGGTTGCCGGACAGCAGGCCAGGGCAAGGGTCCAGGCAACAGGGAAGTGCAGAGGCGACCCACGGTGCCATACTGGGGACAGGAGGACAGGGCTTGAGTCTGATGGGCTTTGGCGGGCCGGGCACAGTGCCTCCGGGTGACTAGGTGTAAGGTGGCGCTGTCCCAAAGACAGGGAAGTAGAGGAAAGTATGAGTTCGTGGGCCCAGAGGCTAAATAAACTCAGTTTATGAGGAGATGGAAAAATCTTCCACGTCAGAGAACCGGCCAGGACGCCGGGGGCGCTCGGATCGCTGGGTCTTTGAAAATGCAAAGGGCCCAGGACAGGGATTCCTGGCTGAAACCCTAGAGTCCCTGAGTTGCATCATTGGCGATGACAAGCTGATGTTTTGTTCTTTGGCATTTTATTTCAAAATTGCAGCGAGAGAAAAAAAAAAATCAACGGCGGCACCGGGAGATCCGGCCTGAGAACGGAGAGATGCGGAGTTGGGGGCCAAAGTGCATCCCTGACCCCACGAAACGGAGCAGCTGGGAGTCCAGATCCCCGCCCCAAGGCCTGAGAGGCGGGGCTGGGGCCCAGACGCCTGGGAAGGGCCCATATGGCTTTGGGAGAGTAGCGACCACGTGGGGGCGCCAGAGACCCAGGCGTCCCGGCTCCCCTGCCCTTTTATTTTATATTGCACTTCAGGTGAGTCACTGGTAGGGAGGCGACATTCGGGGGGAGGGGGGGGTCTGGATGTTAGGGGTCAGTGGGTCCGAGGAGAGGTAGGGCGGCGTCTGTAGCGTCACACCGGGAGCATCCACTCGTGGGCTCCTGTTCCGTACTGAGGGACGACAGAGGGCAGGCCGTGAGAGGAAAGCCACACTGCAACTCCCAGCAAGCCCCGCGGCGTCCCACGCTAAATGGTTGCGGGGTTGCGCCCCCACGACCTCATGGGAAATGTAGTCCACTTCCCGGAAGACTGCCTACAACTATAGGGAAAGGGGGATCGTGGCGGAGATGGCGCAGAGGCTGGGGGGGGGGCGGTGTCAGTTCTGCAAAGGGTTACTGTCAGGCCGCGCGAAGGCTCTAGGGGAAAAAAAGTCCTGTCCAGCAGAGAAGAGCCCAGATAGTCGAGACGTGTGGTTCTAGGTCCCGATGCACAGGCCTTTACAGAAGCTCATGGGTCGAGTGCCAGGAAAGGGGCCCAGAGGTTCTCAGGAAGGCTGTCTCGGCTGAGATGAAATGGAAACACCTCCAGGGGCTTAGGAGAGGAGATATTCCCGGGCCTCCGTGGAGACTGAGGCCCAGAGGCTTGGAGGAGATGCCTCGGGCCAAAGGGAGAGCCCAGGGCTCCAAGGCCTCCACGCAGGGTGGGCTTCTGGGCCAAAGACTGTCTGGAAGTCCCAGAGGCTCATGCGAAGGGAGTTCCCCCACCGGAAGGGCCCCCTGGAGCCACAAGGGTGGGGAAGGCGAGTTCTCCAGCCAGGGCTTAGAGGCTCCCAGGAAAGGGTCATTTTGCCCCAAGGAGTGTTCTAGGCCACAGAGGCTCAAGGAAAAGGCGAATGTCGGGGGCCCAGAGGCCGATGGCAGGGGCCATTATTGGCTCTTGGGACTGTGGGAGATGGGGGGAGGGCTCCCAGTCCAGAGGCTCGTGGGCCGTGACCCTCCCTGGGGAACACCCATCCAGCCCATTTCCCAGTGGGTGCCCTTCACCTGGATCGCCCTCAGCTCCTTCAGGAAGCGGTGGATGAGCTCAGGCCCATTTTCCATGGTGGGAATGTGTAAATGCTGGCGAAGAGAGTGCGGTGAGGGCCGGGCCGCGCATCCCCGCCCCCTGCTTCCCTCGCGTCTCCAATGGCAGCGCCACCTCACCTTGCCTTGGTACAGGATTTGGTGTACTGGGCAGACCTGGCAAGCAGTGCCCGAGCCAAAGACTTCCCGGACGCGACCCTCTTCCAGCGCCCGCAGCAGCTCCTTCATGGTGATCTTCCGCTCGGCGACCCGGAACTCACCCTGCCGAGCGGTGCGCATGAGCCCGACCTGTCCCTCCACAAGACGCGTGACAGAGACCCGAGGAGAGGATACCCAGAGAGAAGGGGCGGATGCTAGTGTGCCACAGCCCCCCCCCCCAAGTCCCCTGAAAGTTCCGGCCCCCAACACAGCAGTTAGCCCGTCACTCCCGCCACCGGAGACGCTGCGCCCTCACCCAGGTCCTGGCCAGGTCCAGCAGACTCTGTCTGACCACTCCGGGCAGGATGATACCGTCCAGCAAGGGGGTCACCAGTTCCAGCACTGGGTCAAGTATAAGGGGGGGGTCACCTCACACCCTGCCATCCCCTTGGGAGCCACCCAAACCCACCCCCAACCCCCCAGATCTGCGGTCTGCTGGGAGTTTTGCTTCGCCCACTCCCACCAGGGCCTGTGTGGGGTCAGGGGATGGCTCACCCCCATCCTCGTAGGTCCAGTAGATGAAGATGTTCATGGTGCCCACCTCGGTGAGCTGGTGGTCAGGCCCGTACAGCCAGAGCACCTGTTCGCAGCCCCTCTTTCTGGCCTCCTCCTGCACCAACACGGTGGGCCCGTAATTCCTGGGACGGGGCGGCACAGTGACCGGGGAGCCGGCCCCTTCCTCGGATGCCCACTGGGGGGTCACCGCCTGCTCTGTGAACTTTTACAACGGCCCCCGGCCCCTTCCATCACAGCACGCGCTGGAGCTCCCAGCAGCCCGGGGGGAGGGGTGGCCGGGTCTGATTCATCACCAGTGTCCCCAGCACAGGGCCTGGCCCTCGGGAGACCTCGCGAGGTTGAAGGGACCTGAATGACACTCCCAGCTTGGTGAGGCAAGTCCCCTGGCAGGACAGATTTACCCAGAGAGCCCACACGGGGGGACACTCACTGGAGGCCCCAGGGGACTATGGGAGCTGAGCATGGGGGTGGAGGAGTGGGGGCGCTGGCTGAGCCTGGGTGTTCAGGGAGCCTACATCGGGGAGAGACCAACGAGCTAAGTGTCAAGTTCATTTCTAGAGGCTTCCCAGGGGGCCGATCCTGGTTTCTCCACTGGCTTTCATGCACACCCTTCGTAATTTTTGTTTCTTAATGTTATTTTTGAGAGAGTGTGAGCGCATAATGGAGGGGAGGGGCAAAGAGAGAAGGAGACAGAATCGGAAGCAGGCTCCAGGCTCCAAGCTGTCAGCACAGAGCCTGGCGCAGGGGTTCGATCTCACAAACTGTGAGATCATGAGCTGAGCCCAAGGCGGACATTTAAGCGACTGAGCCCCCCAGGCACCCCACCCCTTCCTAATTCTGAGCCGATTTGTCCATAACGCTTAGCACAGACCCTCTCCCCTAAGTCCCGCCCCCAGCATCACATCCCACGAGCAAGCTGCCCCAGGTATGTGCAATAATAAAGGACAGTGCACACCCAGAGAAGCAAACCCACACCCAGTGCCTTTGACTTCCAGCATCCAGGACAATATGGGGTTTGGGAAGGGACCACTTACCCCCCGACCTTGTAGTCACCGACCCCACCCACCCAGGCTCGGATGAATGTCGGGTCGGCTAGGAGGGAGACCGGGTCCATGGCATCTCCGGGGAAGTACGCGCCCACAGGGCAGAGAATGACAAACAGGAGGGCTTTCGAGGGCCGGGAGACACCCAGCGAGGGCTGCTGTGGGCAGAAGAGGGCATCAGGGACCCAGGAGTCCAGCCCCCCAGCTCATCCCCTCCCTCTCCCCAGGTGTCCCCCCTCCCTGCCCTCAGCACCCCCCCCCACTTCCGCCCCACCTGCATCGCAGCGCACGGACTCAGGCCCACCTCGTTTCCAATGATCACAGGCCTCACATAGAGGCTCGCGTTGGCGCTATCGGGAACCCAGTCTTTGTCCACTTCCACCAGCCGCCGGATACACTCCAGCAACTCCACCTTGTCAAAACCCTGGGCGGGATTGCCACGAGTCAGCCCCGCCCCCCCGCACCCCTTCCCTGCCCCCCGCGGCCGGCCAGGGGCCCTCACCGGCAGGCACAGGCGCAGGGCCGAGCGCAGCATCCGGTCCATGTTGAGCCAGGGTCTGAAGAGGCGCACCTGCTGGTCGCTGCCTTTGAACGCCTTCATGCCCTCAAAGAGCTGCCGGGACAGGTGGGTAGGTGATTCAGCTCAGAGACCACCTCAGAGAGCCGCGAGAGACATCGAGAGACACCGAGACACAGCCTGATACACACGGACACAGACACGGACGCAGAGAAGGAGCTGGCGAGAGACTAATGCAACAGAGCACACAGAGGACGCAAAGAGAAGAGACAGAGACGGAAGCAGAACGGAGACACCGGTAACAGCCAGAGAGACCCCGAGACCAGGGTACAGAGACAACACCCTACTGAAAGCCCTTCCGTGTTCCTGGTTCGATTTCTCAGGAACGATGGTGGGGAAGTGCTGTTTTTAAAGAATCCTTGTGTTTGCGAAGCACTGGATGAAATAATACAACTTCCAGGATTTGCTTCAAAAATCTTACAGGAGGGGGACAGAGATGGGAGTCCAGATGAAATAAGACAGTGAGCAACACGTGCTAGCTACTGAAGCAGGGTGGTGGTGGTGGTGGGGCTTATCATCGCATTCTGGTTTTTTTTCCTGACTAAATTTAATTATTTAATTAAAATTTAATGCATTGGGGCGCCTGGGTGGCTCAGTCGGTCAAGTGTCCGACTTCGGCTCAGGTCATGATCTCACTGTTCGTGGGTTCGAGCCCCGTGTCGGGCTCTGTGCTGACAGCTCAGAGCCTGGTGCCTGCTGCAGATTCTGTGTCTCCCCCTCTCCCTGCCCTTCCCCTGCTTGCGCTTTGTGTGTGTGTGTCTCTCTCTAAAAAAATAAACATTAAAAAAAAATCTTTAAAAAATTTAATCCATTAATAATATACTTGAGTTCAAATCATTCTATTTTTTTTTTTAGAAGTTTATTTATTTTTCGAGAGAGGGAGTGGGGCAGAGGGAGAAGGAGAGAATCCCAAGCAGGCTTTGCACTGTCAGCACAGAGCCCGATGTGGGGCTCCAACTCACGGAACCCGTGAGATCATGACCCGAGCTGAAACCAAGAGCTGGATGCTTAACTGACTGAGCCCACCAGGCGGCCCTGTCATTCTATTTTTATGTTTGAAATTCTCCATCATAAAAATTTAAAAATAATATTGGGGGGGGCATCCCACTTCGGCTCAGGTCATGATCTCATGGTTCTTGAGTTTGAGCCCCTGTATGGGGCTCTCTGTCGTCAGCGCAGCGCCCACTTCAGATCCTCTGTCCTCTCTCTGCCCCTTCCCCGACTGCACTCTCAATCTCTCTCTCATAAATAAACATTAAAAAATAAAAATAATTGTAAAAGTTTAAAAAAAATTTTTAAGTAACCTCTACACCCAACATTGGGGCTCGAACTCATGACCCCCAGATCAAGATTGCACACTCCACCAACTGAGCCAGCCAGGGGCCCCAGAACATTTTTTAAAGTACAAAAAAAGAAAAGGCTGATCTGCACCCTCAGCCTATTGTTGACCTTGGCCTTCAAGATCTTATGAGATCTGGCCCCTCTCATCTCAGCCTCGTAAGCTGACATGGCAGATTGGCTACTCGGGCTGTAGTAAGTTCATCCAAATACTTGTCACAACTCAAGTCTCCTCAGGACAACGCTGCCTTCAGCCATAGCTTTGAGCTGTAAACTGAATGCCTCCCGGACACCTTCCTTAAAGGCCCCTCACCAAGTCCCGCAGAGCCAGTCTTCGGCTAAGTGCCCACAGGGGGCCAGCCCCATGGTCACCTGGTCAAACCTCTGGGCGCCACGCTCGGCCCTCCCTTCCCTGCACCTGTCCGGCCTGCCAGTCCCTCACATCGCTGAATGTCTGTCCCTCCCCCTGGCTCCGGCCCCAGCCTGGGCCTCCATATCTACCTCTTCTATCTGGGCCTTCACCCCAGCCTGGCCTCCTGGCCTCCGGCTCATCTTCCACACGACCTGAGGGGCCTCGCTACACCCGGGGCTGACCCGGCTCCACGTCTGCTCAGAGCCCTCCATGGCTCCCAGGGCCCTCGACAAGGTGCCAGCCCCACAGCTCCTCCGTGGCCCTGACGGCACCCTCAGCCTCCTCTGCCACCTTCCAGTCCCCAAGTCCCCCCCGTATGCCGGGCTCCCCTTTGTACTGTCTCTTTGTCCTGGCTGGTCCGTCTCTAAAGCTTCCCTGTGCCAGAAGAGACCCTACTTTCTTTCAAGTTAGAGGCGGGATCGGTGCCTCTTCCGGCCCCCACCATGCCTCAGCTGTCACCTCCAGACCACGATCGCACTGGGCTGTGACCGCAACACGGGGGGGTTTCGAGGGAGAGAGAACTGGGTCTGCTCGTCTCGGGAACCCGGCACCACCCAGCATGGGCTCGGCTCGGAATGCGAGGGACCTGGGAGGGAAGGAACACACGGAAAGCAAGCCCAGGGCGGTGGGCCCTGCTAGAGACCCGGCAGGAGGGAAGAGCTGCAGAGGGACGGGGACAGAGGTCACCGCCATGCCTGTAGCGAGTAGTGGAGGCCGGAGCAGGCTGGGTGCAGTATGAGGTTCTGGAAGGGCTGGATGCGGGGCTGGCCCCAGCCCTTCTCCTCGGTCCACTCCACCATCAGCATGTGGTCAGTGAAATTCTTCCCAAACACCAAGGGCTTGCTGGGGTCAGGCTTCTTATGAGGCTCCTGCGTCATTTCCAGCTTCAGGTCCGCAGCCTGAGAAGAGACAGGGGCCCCGGGCATCCTGAAATCTGGGCCCAACCTCAAACAGAAAAACTACAACCCCCATGAACCTCTGGGGCTAAGACCTAGAGAGGAGAGACACCTGTGGCCCCAGAGGCTTCTGGGACATGTAGTATCCACTCTCTCCCACAGCCTATGGAGGATTCTTAGGCTACCCCATTGCCGACCACCTTCACCTTTGAACCCTGGACCCTTTTGGAGACACCCAAGTGTAGCTGCTGGCCCCTCCCTCAAACCTAAGGGTCCTAGCTTCCAGTTCCCTCCTCCCTCAGACCAGTAAGGAGTCCAGGCCCCAGCCCCTCCTTGAGATCCAAAAGTAGATTTTCCTCCATTCACCTTGAAGTTGGATGAGGCATATCTTCTGGGGCCACACAGAAGCCAAGAGACAGGGAGGAGTTTTCGGGCCCAAATCTGGAGGGGGGGACAGAAGTAGTGAGGCCAGAAGAGCGAGCGAGCAGGGAACCCTGGAGCCCGTTTTGCCACCTCCTGCACTTGGGAGGTCCCTCTGGCAGGCTCTGTCCCATGCCCAGTGCATTCGAGAGAGGGCATGTGGCCCCGGCCAAGTCCGCTCCCCTGTGGGATCAGCTTATAGTGGGAGGGAATCCTGAAGGAGGCCAAGTCAGTCCCCTCCCGGCCCTCACGAGGGCCATCCCTAGAAAAAGCTGACTCAGCTCCTGTCCCCTCCTTGCTAGGACAAAGTTAAACACAGGCACCTCCCACCCCTGGGAACTTTGGCCCCAGCCCTGAGATCAGCTCAGACAGAAGACGGCCGACCGAGGGAAGGCGCACAGGTAAGTGGAGGCCTCTCTGGGGGACCCAAATCCTGACCAGAGTTAGAAAACTGAGGAACCTATAGGCTGTAATTCCCCAGAACCCAGAGGCTGGGCCCCCAGCCCCCTCTCCCTTAGATCCAGAACTCCGGACCCCAGGAGACTCAGTCCCCAGCACCTTCCTCCCTTAGACCCAGGAGTCCTGGCCTCCAGCCCCTTCTTACCCCAGACCCAGAAGTCCAGGCCCCCAGTCCCCTCTCCCTTACACCCAGGAGTCCAGGGTCCCAGCCCCTCCTCCCTCAGACCCAGAAGACCCCGTCCCCAGCCCCTCCTCCCTCAGACCCCTTCCTCCCCCAGGTCCAGGCCCCCAGCCTCCTTCTCCTTCAGACCCAGGACTCCAAGTCCTTATTCTTTCAGGACTCAGATTAATTACCTAAGCTCCCAACCCCATACCGCAGACACCAATGGTTCTAATTCCCTTTGGATCCCAGGGACCACATGGACCTGGTGGGGGTCCCCAAGTCATTGGCAGAGACCCTGCTCAGATAAACACTTGTGGTCCTGCCTGAGACAAACCAGGGAGAGCAGGTCTGTCCGTGTCCATCAGGGTGGGCTCTCCCCCTTATTCTTTGACCTCACGTTGACCCTTTCTTTCCCAGCCTGGCAGGAAAGCAGCTGGGTCATGAGGTTGGGGCCGACAGGACAGCGGACGTAGCCTGCTCCTGCCCTGTGAGCTGGGCGAGCGGACGCCAGTCACTGAGAACGAACATGAATGGCATCGTGAGTGGTCAGTAGGTGAGTCCTGGGGGCAGGTCCTAACGTCTGGGCGGTGACGTCAGAGGAGTGGCTCTGGAGAGCTTGGGGCCCAAGAGCGTCTGGGCTGATCAGAGTGTGGGTCTGCGGCATGGCCTCTAGGTGGCGCTGTGTCGCCCGCACAAGTCTGTGGCCACGCTTCTGTCCGGCAGAGAAGCGGACAGCATCGCGTGGAGACAGCACGGACTCTCAGGGTGGAGACAGCAGTATCTGGGCAGGAGAGCGGCCAAAAAAAATGGACCAAAAAATAAATGAAAGAGAGGGAAGAGCAAGAATGAGAAAGAAATAGGCAGAAATAGAAAACAAAACGGATGGGGCGCCTGGCGGGCTCCTCCGGAGGAAAGTGGGACTCTTGGTCTCAGGAAAAAGTGGGACTCTTGGTCTCCGGTTCCTGAATTCGAGAGTTCGAGCCTCGCGTTGGGTGGAGAGATTACTTACAAATAAAACCTTTAAAAGAAAGAATAATTGAAGACAAAACTGAGAAGAACAAGAAACCAGGTACAGGAGATGCCAGAAGAGATACGATCATAAAGAGAGACCAATTCGAGAGACAGATAGGGAGACACGCAAAGTCAAGTGTGGAGAAACCCAGAAACACAGGGAGGGTGAGATATGGAGACGCTGAGGCAGGGAGGAAGAAGTAAATAGGCAGAGACCAGGCTACAGGTGACAGCACAGAGTGAAAGGAGACCCAGAGAAATGAGGGAAAGAGAGACAGAGTGAAGCCAACACCAGGAAACAAACGATCTCGGCGATGTTTACAAACAGAGATATCCAGGAAATAGAGATCTCTCTACGTCTCCCACAGGGCACAGAGAAGGGGCCCAAGCAGTGGGCAGATCATAAATCTGCACAGGCCATCAAGACGCTGTTGTCCTGAGAGACGCCGTCTTCATCTTCCCAGGACACTGCTGTAGGCGCAGGGGTCTCACCTCAGCTCGGGGAAGGGGTACCCACCATCTGACACCCCGCACCGCGGGCACTGGACCCAAGGGATACCCTCAGATGGTAGATGGGCTTTTGGGACAAAGGGTGTAAAAGGGTCAGGGCTAAATCAGGAAACAAGGGAAGAGGGGAGGGGAGGGGCATAGGGCAGGGGTCTGCAACACGAGGGAGCCTCCTCTGTGTCCCATTACAGCCTAGGGCTGTCCCCACCACAATCCAGGACTGTCCTCCCATCAAGGCCCAGGCCTGTCTTCTGTCATAGTTCAGCACTATCCTGAACATTTTGGGACAGCCCCCACATCACAGCCCAGGAAGGGTCCCCCTCATAATGCCATGCTGTCCCTGCCTCAGCCATGGACTGTCCCTATCAAAGCCCCAAGTTGTCCTTGTCATGGCCCAGGACAGCTCCCACCACACGGAACACTGACCCATTGTAGCCTGGGGCTGTCCCATCCAAGGCCAGGTCTGTTCCACGACAGCTCAAGACTCTCCTCAATCACAACCCCAAACTGTCCCCGTCACCGCCCAGGCCTTTCCCACCACAGCCCAGGAGTGTCACCATCAAAGCCCCGGCTGTCGCCGTCACAGCCCAGCATCGGTCACCAAGACTGTGAAACGTGAAACTCTGCCCTGCTATCTCTCCACCAGGCCGCATAGGAGTCCCAGAGTCAAGTGCAGACTTATCGTGAAAAACACTTTTTCCAAGGTTAAGCTGCAGCTGTTACGGGTTGTAAAGATCCCTTCTTTGAGTTGTTACTATTTCTCTCCTCGCGGAGAAACTTTATTCTCGAAAATCACACTCTCCACAACTCTGCTCACTGTCACCTTGTCAGGAAGCATGGACCGTCCCACTGCTGCCAGGATGATCTGTCACCCGGACAGTGGGAAGCTGCCTCAATTTCCGACCCGGACGCGGAGCTTCAGATAAGAGGTTTCAGGGACACCACATTCCACATAAATCTTAACCTTTTAATTCCAAGAAAATCGGGCCTTGGGTCCAATTCCCAGTCCAGACCTGAGATCTGTGCCTTCATCCTACTACCCCCACGCCTAGGGGTTCGGGGTGTCTTACCCCGACGCCCCCACGGGCTGACCCTCCCTTAATCCCCCCACCCGCCCCGGTCCGGTGCCTGTCCCATAACTGCCCTCCTGCGTGTTTCCCTCCATACCTCGGGTTGGCGTCCCTGTCCCACCAATTACGCCCTCCCCCCACCCGGTCCTTACAGCCTCGTGCTGCTTGCCAAGGGGCCCCCTCCTTCTCGGCGACCCGCAGCGGAACCCGAGCACCGAGGGAGCGACGCAAAGCCGGACGAGCTGGGGGCTGGCGGGCCTCCCGGAAGTGGGCCTTCCCGCTCCCTCCCCGGCCGGGGGCCGCGAACCCACCTGCCCCAGGGCGGCTGCGGCCATGGTCGGAGCGGCTGGCGGACTGTACCCGCCCGGGGCGCGGCTCAGAAGAAAGACGTTCCGGCCCCGCCCCGCTCACGCCCCCTGTCGCGGGAGGGCCGCTCCCCGAACACCCCAGGCGGGCCGGGCCTCCCCAATTATAGGGCGCCCGTGGGGAGCTGGGTCCTACTGGAGAGCGCATGCGCTGGAATCCGCGCGGCGGAGGGGAGTTAACCGAAATACGCCCTCCTCCCAACCCCCACCCAGATTGTTCCAGCCGCAAGACTGCTGTACCAGAGCGTACATGGAAGTTTTGTTCTTGTTTTTGTTCTTATTGCATTTTAATAGGCACTATCGTGGAACGCTAGCGAGGATAAGCAGTTCGAGGTAAGACAGAAAAGGACAGGAACGGAGAGAAACCTCCGCATATCTCGATCCCTCGGTGATAAGGAAAAGCACTGGCTGTGACTGTCTGTAAATAGATCACGTAAATGAAAAAAGGATTTTGGAAAAAGGCCTCGGAAGAGGGTAGCAGGTAGGGATGGATGAAGGGGTTGCAATCACCCCCAATTGAAAAAAATTCTTTAACGTTTATTTATATTTGAGAGAAAGAGACAGAGCGTGAGCAGGGGGAGGGGCAGAGAGAGAGGGAGACACAGAATCCGAAGCAGGATCCAGGCTCCGAGCTGTCAGCACAGAGCCCGACGCGGGGCTCGAACTGGTGAACTGCTAGATCATGACCTGAGCCCAAGTCGGTCGCCCAACCGACTGAGCCTCCCAGGCGCCCCACAGTCAACCCCTATTTGAATATACTTTTTTCTTTCCAAGGAGAAAACGTATGTGTCGTCGTTGTAACTTTTTAGGATACCATGCACGTGGTTCATCATACCTCTTTCCAGTTTCTTTCATCAGCGAGGCCCGAAAAAAATGTTAATCCCCCGACGCCTCAGTGAGCCTCTAAGAACAGCCCCTAAGGCAGGGTTCCCTGGTTATGCCTCTTCTTGAGTGTCTTCCCAACTACGGGACCCCCAGGGGCAGAGTTAGCTAATTACAGCGCACTTGGATCCCTCTAGAATCCCTAGCGATCCAAACCTGCATCAGTGCTCCTATACCGAACTCCTCGGTCCCTGGGGCCCCCAGACCTTCCATGGTCAGAGTTTCCCCCCAACTCTTGCATCCGGGTTACTGTGGCACCGAAATGTTCCTGCTGTGTCCCCAAACTCCGATTCCTGGGCCACTGAGCCTCCCAATTCTGTCCCCGGGTCACTGTACTCCAGCCCTAAGAGCCACAGGTCCAGGCAAATTCCCAAGCCTCCTCCTGAGAGTCCCGTTCCGCTTCCCTCCGCCGCGATCCTCCTCTGCCGCCTCCTGGCCAGGGGCCCGGGGGCCGCGGCCGCGCCCGTTCAGCTCGGCCAATCAGCGACTGCCGCACACCCCCGCCGCGGCCAATCCGCAGCATCTCTGCAGCCCCGCCCCACCCCCCTGGCAGGGGAGAGTAACCCCCCACTGGGACCCGCGCCCCTGCAGGAATCCAGGGCAAGCTCTTCCCTAGCTGGGGAGTCCATGCCCCCTAAGTCTCCTCTTCCCCCAAACCCAGGAGTTCGGACCCCAGCCCCTCCTCCGTCTGACTCAGTCTCACCCCCCAGCTGCCTCTTCCCTCAGAACCTGTGGAGCCCACCACCCCTCCTATTTCTCAGCCTGCGAGGTCAAAACTCCTTTCCCTTAAGGACCAAGAATAACGAGAGGGCCCTTTTGTTTCACCTCCTCTATAATCTCCTAATAGAGCTTAATTTACTCTCCCCTGCGGGCCTTTTTATTAGCAGGGGTGAAGCCGACCGGCAACGCTTTTCTCAGGAGCCCTCGGCGACAGGCTCCTGCTGCAAGGCCTGCCGGGAGTTGTAGTCCCTTGGGTCAAGACCACTCATGGGAACACGTGGGGCTGGAAGGGGCGGGTGTGTGTGTGTGTGTGTGTGTGTGTGTGTGTGTGTGTGTGTGTGTGTGTCTGTATGTGTCGGGACGCACTGCCGGCGTGGCAGAGCTCAAAACAGCAGGAAATAAAGGAAATGATGCCCTCTTCCTTCTAGCTGCAAACTACTTTTATGGGAATCTGCGAGGTAGTTGGGCACATTGGTTAGTGGACTTAAGGTCAAGAGTTGGGGTGTGCATCTAAGAAACAGATGGTAGAAGCTGAACTTTAGGAGTCCTAGTCAGGAAGGCCCCAAGTGGAAACGAGGGAAATCAGGAAGGGATGGTGGGGGGCTCCACCGGGGTGCCTGGAAGGGCCTTGCGCCCATACCCCAGCTCCGCACCCCCGGTCACAAACAGCTCAATCCCAGTGCAGAAGTTGGCTTCGGAGGCCAGGAACACGGCTGCCGCCCCCACTTCAGCTGGCTGGCCCATGTGACCCAGGGGCTGGGGAGAGACAAGGGAAAAAGGAGATCAAGTGAAGGCCCCTCCTTAGTGCTACACCCTAAGCCTCCCATAGCCCCTGGATCTGGCCCCCCCTCCTACCTGGGCCAATGTGCCTTCTCGGATTGTGGCTGTAGGGTCAGGCGTTTCGGCAGCCAGCCTCTCCCACATTGGGGTCCAGATGTTTCCTGGGGAGATACTGTGGGGAGGGAGAAGAGGAGATCAAGGAGGTGTGTGCCACAACATGGCCTCTTAGGCTCACTCCCTTCCCTGCCGTCTCTGCCCATTGGAGCTGCTCACCAGTTGACCCGGACGCCATATTGACTCTCATCCAGGGCCAAGGCTTTGGTCATGGCTGTTACTGCCCCCTGCGGAAGACGATGGGGGAGCAGAGTTCAGTCCAGGGAAGCTGAGGTTCCTCCCGTCCTCTCCTTCAACCGGGAGGGGTGTCAAGCTGGGGCCTCAGAATGGGGTACTCCTGCCTTCCCCGAGGGCTTCTAGGGGATGCACCAGGCTCTGTTTCTGGGGAGACCCTGGTGCATAACATGTCTGCCGCAGGTTGCCATGCCTCAGGGCTGAGGTCCTTGGAGGCCCTGGTAGGGAGTGAAGGAAGGGGCAGGGTACCTTGGTGGCCACATAGGGAACACTCTGGACCTGGCCGATGGCCCCGACCAGACTGGAGATGTTGATGATGTTCCCCTGGCTCTTCCGCAGGTGGGGGAGGGCAAGCTGGGGAGACAGAAGGCAAAGGCAGTCACCAGGGTCCCTGGATCTGCCCCCAGCCACACTGCAACACACCCTGAGGTCTGACAATGGCCACGGCTCTGGCATGTTCACTGACTGATGGCATTCCAGAAGCCCAGAGAACACCTTCACTGGTTGGCCCCAGGGTCTCAGTGTTTAAGGACTGTCTCTCTGCAGCCATCTCCACTTCCTCTCTCCCCCTCTCCTCCCCCATCCTTTGGGTTCTTGCCCCCTCCCCCACCCCACTTTTGTCCTGCCTCCTCTAGGTCTCTCTTTCTGCTCTGGGTCTCTGTATGTTACTCAGACTCACATCCAGATGGAGACAGGAAAAGACAAGATGCCTAAATATTTTGCAAAAATGAGAGGCGGGGGGAGAGTTTCTCCGCATTTGAGGGGAAGCTCTGTGGTCAGAATGTGATGTGGGAGGTCCTGGTGACATGCACCCCATTTCATGAAGCTCCCCGGAGGTCCCTAAACTAATTCTCTTTCCTCTCCCCCTCTCCTCCCTCCCTCTCTGTCTCTCAGCTCTTGGACTACGCGTGACCTTGAATAAACTCAGATTCAATGCTTTCCCTCTCTTTCCTTTGATGGCTGAGCTGGCCAGCCGGCTAAGACCTGTTCCTCCCCCTGCCACGGAACATTAAAGAAGACAAGCAGGCCCCGCTGAGGGGTTCTCAGAGTGGGAATATAAATTAGCTCCCTCTCTGAGTCACCCCACCAGCTTTTCCTCCTCGGGCTCTATGCTGACAGCTCAGAGCCCGGAGCCAGCTTTGGATTCTGTGTTTCCCGCTCTCTCTGCCCCTCCCCCACAGGTGCTCTGTCTCTGTCTTAAAAATAAATAAACTAAAAGAAACCATTTTTTTTAAAGAGTATTTTGAGAGTCAGAGAGCAGGTGAGTGGGGGAAGGGCAGAGAAGAGAGAGAATCCCCAGCAGGCTCCACGCAGTCAGCACAGAGCCTGACGCGGGGCTCGATCTCATGAACCGTGAGATCGTGACCTGAGCTGAAACCGAGTTGACATTCAACCGACTAAGCCCCCCAGGTGCCCCACCGACCAGCTCTTCGAAACCTCCTCCACTCCCTCAAAAACAGCCTCCACCCTTTCTGAGGACTGTGTCTTCAAACACACCCTGAGCCTTCCAACCTCAGGGCCTTTGTGTCTGCTGTTCCCTCTGCCTGGGATACTTTTCCTGAGATGGCCATGGGACGCACCCCTAGGGACCAGCCATGCCAGTATGCCCAGGACTGAAGTGGCTCTGAGGACATGGACATTCCGTCCACAGTTTTGGTGTGAAAACGAGACAGTCCTGGGTAAACCTAGTCTGTCAGTAACTTCTGGTCTTGTTTAAATGCCACTTTTTATTTTCTTTTTTTAATATTTAAAAAAATTTTTAAATGTTTTATTTATTTCTGAGAGAGCGTGAGCAGGGGAGGGGCAGAGAGAGAGGGAGACACAGAATCCGAAGCAGGCTCCAGGCTCGGAGCTGTCAGCACAGAGCCTGACGCGGGGCTTAAACCCAGGAACCATGAGATCATGACCTGAGCCGAAGTCGGACGCTCAACTGACTGAGCCCCCCAGGTGCCCCTAAATCCCACTTTTTCAAGGAGGCCTTCCCTGACCATCCTATTAAAACAATTTTTTAAAATTTTATTCATTTATTTTGAGAGAGAGAGAGAGAGAGAGGGAGGGAGAGAGAGAGAATCCCAAGCAGGCTCAATGCTGTCGGCACAGAGCAGGACACAGGGCTTGAACTCTTGAGTCCTGAGATCGTGAGCTGCGCCTAAATCAACGGCTTATCCAAGCAACCAACCCACTGACCCATGCAGGCACCCCTGCCTGTTTGGTGAACTCTCCACCCAGGTATTGAACTTCCTCCCCACTCCGCACCCTGCAAACATGAAGTCCCTGACGGCTGTGGCACTGAGCCCACAACTACCGCTCAATAAATATTTGTGGCACATTCCCTGTGATCTCTTCTCAACCCTCCCACATATTCCTTGGCCTATATCCCCACCCCCAGCCAAGGTCACCTAGTACTTTCCTGGTAGCCATAACCAAGGACCTGCTGGAATCTTACTGGCCTGACCTCTCCTCCCCTCTCCCTCCCTCCCTCCGGACACCTGACCAGGAGAGCCTGACTGTGAAGCTGCGCTCTCATCGGAGGGGTTTCTGGGTCTGCTTCTCTCTGAGCTCTGCCAGGGGAGCCCCCACTTCGCTGGTTTCCCATATGCATCTCCTAAATCTCCCTTGGACCGGCCTTCTGGAACCTGCCCCCTCTGGGCATCCCCATCTGTCTGTCTTCAGTGCAAAGCTCCCTCCCTCGCCTCCTAGAATCTGCCTCTCTCCCCTCACTTCCGGCCTAAGACACGGGGTCCCCTCCTACCCAGCTTCTCAAGCCAGAGCCCCGAGAGCCTTCCAGGGCCTCCTCCCTCTCCCAAAGTTCCTCACCCGATCCGTCCCTAAGCCTGGCCG